AGAGACTCCTTCTGCTCAGACACTCCTGTACATCAGGTTATATAATTTTGTCCTTGCTAGACATAAATTTTCCCCTTTGCAGTGAAGAAGACTCAGTATTAATTTCTGGTGGGGGCTCCTTTCTTTCCTTTGGTAAAGAAAAGAAGGGCAAGGGTGTCTAAACCAGTGCTAAAGCGGCTCATTTTGCACAAGTGAGTGGTTGTATTGAGCGGTGAGAGCACAGAAATGTTCAGGAGAAATCAGAGCTTTGAAATGCAGGTAGAGTTTTTACCAGGGAGATTGGTGTCAGTGGTGGAAGTGAAATGTAGGGCTGATATGTACTGCTCTCCCCCTTCATTTACTGCCTTTTGGTAGCATGTGTGCAGGTCTTAAAGTATGTGAACTGAGCGTGAGTCCTGCTCTGCCCCATTTCACAGCTGTTGGAGGTGTTCCCTCACAACAGGGCCATGCTCTGTCGAAATGTTGTTTATCTGATAGCCTCGCTCACGTTACACTGCCAGCGCGGTGTTGATAAATGCATGGCTGTAGGTGAGCTGCACAAGTTTTATTAAGGTGACACTTACAAAATGTCCCCTGATCCTCATGCAGGCGCTTAGCTCACACAGGAGAGTTTTACTGAGCCCACTGAAGGCTGACGAGAAGCTCTGAACATGCTGAAAAAGCAGCATCTCGGGGCTGGACTGAAGCAAAGGGCCAGAGGGTTGTGATTCAGCCCAGGGCCCATGCACTGCTCTTAACTGGCACCCCAGTTTCCTGCCTCAGCTGGGGCTTGCGGGCTACCCCAGCGAGTGGTAAATGGCTTTTTTTGTCCATTTAAAACAAGGCACGGATGTTTTGGTGGCCTCTTTATCAGGCAGTGGTTATGAAGATGTGTCACAGTCCTTAGATACTCCTGGTACAACAGGCATTTTGGTATGATCACACGGAGGGAAAACTTTAAATGCAAATAAACCTGTGTGTTTTCCAGGGGTTCTCAGCATATTTCCAAACACGTCCTCCACGCTGAGGCCTCAGCTGGACTGGTCCCACGCTGGTTTTCGAGCCGCCACGCAGCTTGCTCCCCACTCCAACACGCAGCTCCCGCTGCAGCTGTCCCCGTGTTTTAGCCAAACGCAGGCTCCAGCCCCGACCCTGCGACGTTTGTGGGCTCGCTCTCAGGTGAGAGTCAGTGCATTGGGACAAACAGCCCTGCCAGCGATTTCCCCAGCTCCAGATGGAGCGTGACGACCTGGTGGCACCCTGGTCAGCGTATTGGAAAAGTGCAAATATTCCCCGGGTGTTTGCTCTCCCCTGGGCAGATTTCAGCTGCTATGGGGCCTTGTTCTTGGTCTCCACAGCCACCTCTTTCGTAGTTTTTCAGGGACGTTCATTTTCGGTGAGATCCTGGTTCAGTTAACTGGGGAGATGTTGCTCCAAGAGCCCAGAGGGTGGCTCAGGTGGCTCCTCTCCCCTGTTCACAGCCGTCCCTGCCGCGGGGACAGTGAGGCTGCCGCCGTGGAGATGGCGCCTTTGCTGTGGTAAAGCAGTGCCCAGGGGCTCTGGTCAGGACAGAGGGAATAGCTGGGTGTCCGCAGCACTGCTGAGGTGGCCGTGAGCCCGTGGGTCCCTGCTGGCCAGGCCGCAAGGCTGCAGTGAGAGCTGGGCGGCTCTGGCTTCCATGGATCTTCGCCTGGGAAGTGAGAAGCCGGGATGATCCTTGGGTTGCAGTTATTTCCTCCAAGGCAGAGCTGGGGATGCCACATGGGGGCCTGGGTAGATCACAGCCTGCGGCCAGCCTGGACATGCCAAAGCGGCCCAAGCAGCGGGGACCGCTCTGTGTGCCCGAGGTGGGATGTTCTGCGGCCCCCTCAGAAGCTGCCCTTCCTGGAGCCATGCTGCCCCATGGGGGTGATCCATCTCCAGGCCATGGACGTGCCAGCGACGGGCCCTCCTCTACGAGAGCAGCTTCCCCACGCACAGCGCTATTCAGGACAAGCCACGTCTGCCTCTCGGCTCATCCTGGGGCTCCTGCAGTTCAAGGAGCACCGGGGAGCCGTTGCCCCTTATCTGAGCTGCTAGAAAGGAGGCTGAGGCCCAGGGCTGGAAAGGCCCGCAGGGCCCTTCCCCTCCTGCCCCCGGCACTCACAGCGCGCAGAGGGGCCTGGCCAGCTCCAGCTCTGCTCAGGACCTGCTGGTGACGGACACGAGGGCGGCCTGCACCCGCGGGCCCACTGCAGGCTCCGCGTTGTAAACGATATTTTTTCCCATTTATTTTTCTGTTTGTGAGCCCCAAATGTCGGTGATGTCTCCTCTGAGCCTGAAATGGATGGGACGTGCCCTAGGTGACCCTGCGTGTGCAGGGGGGCTGGACTAAATGACCTCTAGAGGTCCCTTTCAACCTTAAGCATTCTATGATTCTATGATTCTATAGCCGCGCTGCTCTTGACAAGCGGGAATGTCGCTGGAGCTGCCGTCCGGGAGCCGGGATAGGGCTCAGCACCGCCCTGGAGCCTCCAGCTCCCATCCCTTGGGATCCACGAGCAGGGAAAGCCCTTCCCGAGGCCACTGGGGAGGTGACGGGTGCACCGGGCCATGCGCCACCTCTGCAGACCCCCTTGAGGCAGCCCGGGTGCTCTGGGGACCCTGCAAGGCTCTGGCAGCTGCACAGAGGTGTCACCACCACCCGCGACAGGGAGAGACCCTGTACCCCCCTGCCAGCATCACGTCAAAGCACCATATCAGCTGCACACAGTCGGGTGCTTCTGGAGAGGGAAGAAGCAGGCAAATCCTTCCAGATAATCTAATAATCCTCCCACGCTCTCACTTCACGTTTTTTAACTCCAGGTTACTTTGGTGCGAATTGCAATGTTTTCGATACCCGTTCTCATTCTACAGTGGTATCAGGTCAGATAGAGCTGCTCAGCCATGGCGGGGGGCCCAAGGGTTTCGGGCAGCCTCCCAGGACCTCCTTGCATGCTGGTTCTGGATGGCCCTGCTTACTTTGCACCAGGTGGAGGGAAAAATTGCAACCCTACTTGTAGAAAAAGAGTCAGAAATAAAGATCCTGCAACAGAGAAGGCACGTACAGGTGTCCTGGGAGATCCCAGTGATCCTGCGAGGGGCTCTCCAGCAGCGTGGAAGGGGTTTTAACCAGAAGAATACAGTGCCTTGGTCTGCCAATGTTTGTTTTGCTTGGGTAAACGTTTGATTTTAGCAACATGAAAGCAATGCGTGAGCTGTGCTGGGGCTGTAATTTGATGGGATGCAGCAGCATGGATGAGCTATGTGTAGGGAGAGCTGCTAATACCATGGGAATGTGCTTCCTTGGGACTTGTAAAGACGGGTCCTTCAGGCGGATCTGTCTTGAGCAGTTCACTCTGCCCTCGCACCAGGCTGCCTGATCCTGCTGCTGCCAGGTCCCTCCCCACGGCATCTCCTGCCCCTTCCCTGCTCCGTGCTCGGGAGCCAAGTGCAAGGCATTTTGCACCCTCTCCTTGGGACCCTTGTGGCCCTAATAAATGTGATTTCTGCAGCCTGCAAAGGAGGGCTTTCACATTCCACAATGAAGTTTCCTTCCTGTGTCCCTTGGAGGCCCAGGAGGTGCCGTTGGGACACAGTGCCGGGTCCTGCCAGCGTCACGGAGTCTCCTCCTGCTGGACTCGTCCGGGGGGTCTGTGTGTGGCAGGGAAGGAGGCACCCTGTCGGGCTCAGGAGTGATTTTTATTAGCATTTCCAAAGAAAAAAGGGAGATTTTGTTTCTATAAAGCCCATAGTGTCGCCAGTGTCAAGTTGGTCAGGACAGCAAAGAGAAAATAGCGGAAGGGGGATAGTGTATCTCTTGACTGGAGGACACTGGGAGTCTCAGCAACGGCTTAAGGGCTTGTTAATTAGTGTGCATGGAGTTTTTGTTTGTTTTATTGATAAAATGCTCCTGGTGCTCCAGTTAGCCCATCAAGCACCAAGGGCCAACTCCTGAAGCCCGGCACAGGTCCTGCTGCCCTCCGCTGTGGCTGGGCCGGGGCACCAGGAGCAGTGGTGGGCAGCTGGCTACGGGCAGCAAGGAAATGTGTTGTGGGGTAGCACTCCACTGATCACTCAGCACCAAATTTGCTGGTGGTTTTAACCAGAATATGTACAAAATGCTCTTTACAGCCCTAAAGCTATAATAGTTACGTTACCTTCTCCTGCTCTGTCAGGTTTTGGCTCTCAGATGCTTGGTTTTACTTCAAGGAGCAGCACTGTTAATGAAGGACACACAACCACAGTAAAGCTCTCTTACTACAACTCCAAGGATGACCACTGCAGGCAGTCAATATTAAAGCATTTTATTTTCCTGATGGCCACCCTTTTCAGCACTTCGTCTTCATACTAGTAGCCAAGGGGTCATAACCAAGTAGTTGAGACAGCAGCACTGGAAGGATTTAGAAGATTCAGGCTGTAGATCTTATTTCAGATTTATTCAACACCCTTCATAAACTCCAGGAACTCTGCCAAGGAAAAGACATAGGAGACAAGTGGGTGTTAGATGAGGACCGAAGCACCATGCGCAGCTGCCAAGCACTCCTTGGCATGTTTCCACAGACCTTTCTCCTTTTCCCTCCCACCTATGCGCGAGGTGCCGAGGATCACGGCTACCGTTTCTCTGGCTGTGGTGAGAGCTCCTCGTGACTCCCTGTGGAAATGTCACTAAAGCCCTGGGTTTTGAGTCTGGGTTGATATGTTGATTTGCCTTTCCTGAAGACCCATCTCCTACAGCAAGTATTTGACTGAAATGACTGAGCTTTATACACTGCTCTGCACTGATGATTTAAACTACCTTTGTTCGTGTCTTAGGAAAAGCCTCTCTGCCCTGGATCTTTTCACAACTGCGCAAAAGCACAACAAAAACGTTCTGAGAGAATCACGTAGGTGTATTGACTGCTTCTGCTGCTCTGCGAGCACGTAGCGTGGCCAGGACCCTTCGGAAAGGGCCTCCCTCGAGCGGACAGGGCAGGCCGTGAGCCAGGAGAAGGCGGCTACAGCTACTGAGAACTTGCTGATCATGAAGTTGGGCCGTGGCATCTCCTATCACTTGATGTGAGTGCCCTAATATTATCTTCTCAAAGCAGATGGCTCCCAAAGGGGAACTGGGGCTGCTCTCAGGGAGTCATTTTGGCGTCACCGCATTTAAAGAAAGAGGGTTTAGGCTCTGGTGCTCCTTTTTAGGCTTGCCTAAGAAGGCAGAAAGGGGGAAGCAGCTCTCTAGTGAAAATCAGCTTTGCTTCGCAGAGTCAAGGCAGTGACTTTGAACAGCCTGGGCACAGTTAGGGGAGCCCCAGGCCCTTGCCACAGTTTTGCAAGTCTGGCAAACCTTGTGCACCTGCACAAATGCAAGTGCCAAGCGGACGTGTTGTCCAACATGCCTGTGCAAGCACATATGAGCTCCCAGGAGGGTAGAGAGACTGAAGAGCTGTCTCCAAAAGCTGCGAGTCTCAAGGACTTGCAACCAAATCATGCACAAGAAAGACTCCTACCATCATAGTCAATCTTGCCATCATTGTTTTTATCCCCGTCTTTCATCAGTTCTTCTATGTCATCCTCTGTGATGGTCTCTCCTGTTGCCTGTAGCATGATCTTCAGCTCTTCAAGGTCAATGTAGCCATCAGCATTTCTGTGCAAGGACAGAAGAGCTCAGAAATGAAGAACACATGCTGGAGAAGGAGAGCCCAGGGCCTGCTGCACTTCTCCTACCATCACTCTGTGTTCAGAGCTGAAGCATTAGCACTCTGGGAGGATGCTTGGTATTTCTGAGTGCAAAAACATGGACACTAAGACAGGGCAAACAAAGCTCTGCTTTAAGTGTGAGCTGCCACGGGTGCCTCTGTGCTCAGATACAACTTCTGTTTACAGCATGACCTCTTAGATGTAGTGTGGTGTGTTCATGTCTCTTACTTGTCGAACATCCTGAAGAGATCTGAGAGTTCCTCTTCGGTTCTTCCTTTGCTGTCATCTTTCATACACCGGACCATCATAACTAGGAACTCATCAAAGTCTACAGTGCCGCTGCCTGCAGGCAGAATAAACACACACAACACTGTAGTGTGGGCACTGGTAAAGCTAAAGGGGAGGTCAAACCTCTGTTACTGACAGAGTAAAACAGAAAACAACCTGGAAGACCCTGAAGCAAAAGGAAGTTTTCAGGGCACTGGTGTAACTGGCTGAGGCCACGGACTGAATTCATCACTGAATCTTTGCATTCATTTTGCCCAAAGTGAACTAAAAGTCTCCTGTAAGTAATAATTCAATGGTAATTTCTGCTATGGAGATACCTACGTATCTAATCTAGATATTGATAATAAAATCTCCAGAAAGCAAGAATTCACACATTGCATTTTTACACTAGTAGTATATTATTGGTATTTTGAGTGACACTGAGATATTTTCCTCTTTTGCTGATTCCTAACTGCTTTTCTCTTTTCTAATTTCCAGTTTCTAATCGCGGTGGGCGACGCGTGCTCCCGGCGGGGTTAGAGGTGCGGGTGCCGCGCGGTCATCGGGGGCCCTGGCCAGGCCCTGGCACTGCAGAGTTCGGAGCCCCCCTCCACCTGCAGCCGCAGGGCTCTGGATCCCGCGGGAGAGACGGAGCAAGCAAAACCTCTCACCGTCCTCATCCACCTCGTCTATCATCTCCTGCAGCTCCTCGGGGGTGGGGTTCTGCCCCAGCATCCTCATCACCTTCCCCAGCTCCTTGGTGCTGATGCAGCCGTCCTCTGCCCCCAGCACGAAGATGTCAAAGGCAGCCTTGAACTCTGCAGAGCGAGAGGGACAGGGAAGGCGCGTGAGCTCCCCCCGGGCTCCCACCGCGCCGGCAGCCCGGGGCAGCGCCTTGTCGAGCAGGGCGCCCCGGGCAGACGTGCAGAAACCCGTTCCATGGAACTCAGGTGGGTCGGGAATGCTGGGCTTATGCTGTGGGCTGGTTGGCTCCTAAAAAGACTTTTTTTAAAAAAAAAAAAAACATGACTTTTAAAAGAGGTCAAGTTGCTGGCTGCCAGGAGCAGCTGGTAGCAAGGATGGACTGAGTGCTAGTGGGTTTTCCTTTTGGCTGAGGTGTCAGGTTAAAGATGCACCTACCATTTTTTTGTTCTTCTGTCAGCTGCTCAACCTGTAGTGGAAATACAGAGACCAATTAGTTTTTATTCATCACCACCACTATTTTTTTTAAGCTTGTTCAGCAGTCTTTTCAAAGTTGAACTAATCCTCCCAACAGTTGGCCTGGACCACAGGACAACCTGCTCAGTGAGATTTTGATACAGCAGCATGGCACAGTCTAAAAAAATCCTTCCCTGTAACAACTATTTCCAGTTCCTCTGAAGAGAGCGTCACTTTACAGGAGTGGCAGCATCAGGCAGGCAGCATTATTAACCTTTGCACAAACAGTGAGGAGCAGCTGGAAGAAGCATATGTCCTTTGCAGCCCTTCCTTTGAGAATAATTTCCTGCTGCTGAGAGGCTTCAAAGGGGGATGGTTGTGACACTGAGGGGGCTCGGGCAAAGGCCGGGTCCCTGAAGAGGGACACCAGCCCCTATAGCTATTTCTAGCTTTCTATTCAATAATCCTGCTAAACTATCCAAAACATGAAGAGCTTTTCTACTGCTGTTGGACATCAGCTTTTGTAACACACAAGACTTCTGTCATTGGAGGTGGCCGTGGTTCACTGTGGCCTGTTTTAGAAGTTGCCCTGGCAGCTTTCTAGCCCACGTGCGCAGCGCGAGTGAAAGGGGTCCTTGGGGTGCAGGGGACTGCGCCCAGAGACACCTCTCATTGCACTGCACCAAGAAACCCCCTGACAGGCAAAGCGGAGTTCCAGGGTGCTGGAATCCCCGTGCCAGGGCTCACACCGGGAGGATGAGGTGGGGAACTGGAGCCAGCCCCACACGCCCACCCTGGCACCCCTGCCCGTGACGGGCACCATGGCTCTCTCTGGAGCCAAACCCCATGTGCACGCGCTGGATGTCCGTGTGCTCCTTGTCCCGTGCGGCCCGACACGGCTCTCCCGGAAAACCTGCCGGAGCAGCACACGGAGACGGCCAGGGAGCAGAAGCATTGGCTGGAATGGGCTGGCAGATTTGTTCCAAAAGTTGACATGAAATAATGAAAATAATCAATGAGAAAAGCAGAGAGGAATCCACGGGATCTACCTCCTGCTGCTTCTCTTTAAGTGTGTCTCTGTCTTGGCTTCCCTCTTTCCTACGGGTCTTGCTTATCTAATCCTGCCGGCCTCACCATTGCAGGTCACAGATGGGCTGAGGCTGGAAGGGGCCTCTGGGTTCATCTAGCCCAACCCCTCTGCTCGAGCAGGGTCACCTGGAGCACCTTTCCAAGGATGTATCAGATGCCTTCTGGATATTTTCCAAGGAGACTCCACAACCTCTCTGGATAACCTGTTCCATTGCTCAGCTGCCCTTAGAGTGAAGTTTTTTTTCTCTTGTTCTGACTGAACTTCTTGTGTTGCACCTTGTACCCACTGCGTCTCATCCTCCTGTCCTGTCAGTAACATCCCTTACAACGCTGGATGTCTTCCTGCCTTCTTCTCCCCAGATACTACCCCCATGCCGGGTTACTCCGGCATTATTCCAGTTAGAGGGCTCTTTTCCTGGCCCCTCTCTCAAATTATCCATCTCTGTCCCGTGCAGCTCAGCTCCATACCCACGGGAAGATGCGGACAGCGGAGCTGAGACCTTCCAGGCCAGGAAAGGGCAGAAGCAGCCTCAGCTTTGCAGGGTGTGACGTGCGCGGGGCCGGGCCCCACCGAGGGAAGGCGGCAGCTGCCGTTGCACGGCGAGCGGAGCTGGGAGCCCCACGGCAGAGCAGCGCCCCGCGCACGTCTGCGGCCACCGCCGTGGAGTAACTCGACCCTCCTGGTGCGGCCACTATTTATAAACCCCGGGAGAGGTGCTGGAGATAAAGATGAGCTCTCCGATTGTTCCCGGGAGTAGACAGGCTTTGGTATTTATCCTTGCAGCTTTTTATCTGGACACTTGTCCCTGGCACTGTGCTTAGTGCTGCTTAACAGAGCCTAAAAATGCTCCCAGAATAGCTTTGGGCTTGGACAGCCTTATCTAGACATGAGTAGGCAAGAGGAAAATCCATTGGATTCTGTGGCTGCCTGCAGTGAATTTGGCACAAACACGTTCAGTTCTATAATGCTAATGAGTAAATGTCCTCAACCAGCAGCACATGAAACTCTCAATTCCAAAGCTGCCTGGAGTAGTGCACTTGGGACAGGTTTCCAGTTAAGGATGGAGGGCTGAATCAGATGGAAATTTTAAATGCAACATAACTATAGAGAAAAATCTTCACTACAGAGGGATTGCACTTGAGTGGCTTATAATGTGTCCCCTGGACACAAACACTCTTTTTGGCTTTATTTGTCTTCTCCCTCTGCATCTTCTTTCAGGGCTTTTCCTGGTGTGCTCCCGGAATGAGCTCACAGCACTGGGATGCCTGCGATAATGCTAATTCTGATGTGGTTTTTACTTTGCTCTTATCAGCTCTGTTTTTCATCTCTTGTTTCCATTTGAAGTAAGGTGGGGAAAGTTTTTTTGGTATTTTTTTTTAGCAGGTGAATGTCGTCTTATAGTTCAAATCCTGAGATCCAGACCCGCGCCAAAGCTGTCGGTCTCGCTGAGCCCGGGCAGGAGCTGCTGTGCCCCCGTGAAGGTGCTGTCCATGCCTGGGTCTCGAGGTGCCCGGGCACCGCTGCGAGCGGCCGCAGCAGCAGCGAGTCTGCGCGTGTGCCCCTGCCCTGGGACAGCCCCAGTCCTCATTGGGCTCGATCGGGGATTTTGCAGCTCACTTCCCTGTTTAAGGACTATTTGCTTGGGGTAAGTTGTTGGTAACCGAGGCAGGAAGTTTTTGGTTGCTCTTATGCTGGCGTTCCTGTTTTTTGGCTAAATTCCTCCGCAGTCTGACTCCCCTGAAGCCCACGGGCTTTGACTAGGAGTGACCTTGGCCAGTGGATCTTTGCCCATGTGCATCCCATTTATGGGACAGAGCTATGGCGAGTGGCTGGAGCTTCTGAGTGAGGAAATCTTTCTTTTCGGGACTCTGCGCTGGACAGTGCATTCCTCGGCTGATGGACAGACCCAGTTGGCTCATCGCTGACATTGCAGAGCTCTTCAGCATTTCTCCCCAATTATTTGCATGAGGGCCCCAAGCGCTATGGAAAGGACCTGCCTTTTGAGCCCTAGAGAATGTGTTTAATCGGGAAGACCAGTTATAGAGGGGGTTAGGAAAACTCAGTGCCTAATTGTACAGCCTTTCCTGATTCTTTCCTCACTGAAAACTTCCAAATCACTAGGAGTTTTCAAGCTCACAGGGTTCTGGGTTGGACCAAGAGGACAGGAAAGGGACTTGTGTGAGCAGTTTCTTGTTTGATTCAGCCATAGCTCAAGCGAGATCTTTCTTCCCTCTAATAATCTTCAAATAAGAATAGCACTTATGTGATGTGGTTTTTTGTGCCCTCAGTTAAAATCAAGCCTGATCAATGGTATTTATATTCTAAAAAAAAAAAACCCAAAATCATCAGAAACCCCCTACAAAGTATTTCATATATAGCTATGCATGGGGCAGGGTAGCAATTCACACAACCCACGATCTATTCCCATCCTTATTCCCCCCGCATATCTCTGTCTAAATTACAAGACGAGGGATGCGGTTCCTCGGCAAGACACCGCATAGTTGGGATTCGCGCGGTGGGGACGGCAGCTGCACCCGTTAAAATAGCCGTGCGGGCGCCCCTGCCCGCCCGGCGAGCACGGCCGGCATTCCCGCTGTCGACGCCGGGCACGGCAGAGCAGAAGCACACAGGGATGCAAAAGCCGAGAGCTTTTTTAAATACCTTTAAAAAATAAAAGCGAGACAGGGAATTTTAGTGCATGCAAGATTCCTCGTTTTGTGGGCAAGCCCCAGGGCGACTCTCCTGGCTTCGCCAGGCTTTTAGCCACGTGCGCAGAGCAGCTCTGGGTGTCGTGGCGGGGCCAGGAACGGGGTGCGAGGCCGCGGCGGGCGGCCCGTGCGGGCGGGGGGGCGG